TTCGTCACTGCGACTTTGACGACGTTCGCTTGCCTCCACAGAACTCGTCGAGCAAGTTACATGGACGACCTGGTCGACCACCAAGTGCTCTGGCCGACCACCAGTGCCTCTGGTCGACCACCAGGTGCCTCTGGTCGACCACCAGGTGCCCCTGGTCGACCACAGCTCCCGTCCAGCTACCCCCTGGTGGTGGTGGAGGTGGTTGGGGTGGCGGAGGCGGTGGAGGTGGCGGTGGGAGTGGTGGAGCGAGTGGGGGCGTCGGTGGCGGAGGTGGCGGCGGCAGCGGGGGTGGTCGCAGCGGTGGTCGTGGTGGCAGTGGGAGCAGTGGTGGCGGGAGTGGCAGCGGCGAGAGTGGTGGCGGTTGCGGCGGTGGTGATCGCTCTGGCGCAGTTCAGCGGCAGCAGCAGCAGCAGCGTCCGCGTGAGACCCTCTCGCCCCAGCAGCTCCGTGAGTGGCTTGCTCAGCATACGGCGACTAGGGGTGGTGGTAGTGGTCGCTGCTCGTACGTTATTCGCACAGGTTCCTGCTCTGGTCAGACGTGCGGGAAGTTTCACACCCAGCACCGCTGTTTCTCCCGCCTAGACGACGCTTGGCGTCAGGAGATGGGCGACGAGCATGAGCTTCCCCCTTGGGCAGAGCTCCTTAGGACTGGTGTTGATATCTTTGCTCTTGACTTTGATGCTATCATTGCTGGCATGTATGCTCTGTCTACTAGTGTTGCGGATAACTGTTACTTGTGCGTGCCGTATGACCCTGGTATAGAGGCTGCTGCTCTAGGTGCTAGTGTGTCTGCTCTCTCTGGTACTGCGCCTGCTGAGGCCTCGCACACCTTCACGCTTGACTCAGGTGCTTCCCGCTGTTTCTTTCGCCACCGTACCACAATCACACCACTCACCAGACCTGTCGCCGTTTCCCTGGCTGACCCCTCTGGGGGCCCGGTTCTTGCACGCTCCTCTACTGTGCTCCCGTGCCCGGCCGTTCCGGTTCCGTAACCAGACTCCACCTCCCCTCGTTCTCAACGAACTTGGTGAGCAACGCAGTCCTCCAGGATGCAGGGGTTGATACCTTTACACCTGGATGGCAGCGTGTGGCGATCTGTACGTGCTCTCGGACTGGCCGTCACCTGGCCACGTTCACCCGTCAGCCAGGGTCGAGTCTGTACACACTGACTACTGCGCCGCCTCAGGTCGCTGCGTGTGCTCAGGACGTCATGTTTGACGAGTCGGTTCCTTTTTACTGGCTCTTGCCCTACCGCACTGCCCCTCTCCCCCCCCCGCCGCTCTTCCTCGCTCCAGGTTTCCCTCCGGTAGACCCCCTCCCCCCTCAGGGTCCTGCTCCTTTAGGTGTCTCTCAGGTAGACCCACTTCCCTTAGCTGAGCTTGTCGAGGTCTCTGGTGACTCAGATGCTGCTGGGGGTGGTGCTGCTTGGGGTGCTGAGTCTGGGGGTGCTGAGCCTGGGGGCGCTACTTCTCGGGGTGCTGAGCCTGGGGGTGCTGTGCCGGGAGGTGCTAAGCCTGGTGGAGCTGAGTCTACTGGTGGTCTTCCGGGTGCCTCACTTCAGCGGTCTCCCGAGCGGGAGCCTCTCTCCCCACAGCAGTTGCGCGAGTGGCTAGCTCAGCACACTCGCCTCCGACACAGCGCTTCTGGAGCTGGGGGCACTAGAACTGGAGGCGCTGGCACTGGAGGCGCTGGAGGCGCTGGAGCTGGAGGCATTGGTGGTGGAGACACTAGAGCTGGAGTCGCTGGAGCTGGAGGCACGGACGCTGGAGGCGCTGGAGCTGGATACACAGGAGCTAGAGGCGCTGGAGCTGGAGGCGCTGGAGCTAGAGGCACTGGTCCTGGAGACGCTGGAGCTGGAGCAGTTGGAGCTGGAGGCACGGACGCTGGAGGCGATGGAGCTGGAGGCACTGGAGCTAAAGGCGCAAGAGCTGGAGGCGCTGGAGCTGGAGGCACTGCCCCTGGTGGCGCTGGAGCTGGAGACACTGGCGTTGGAGGCCCTGGAGCTGGAGGCGCTGGAGCTGGAGGTACTGGAGCCGGAGGCACTGGAGCTGGAGGCGCTGGCGCTGGAGGCGCTAGAGGTGCTGGAGGCGCTGGAGGCACTGGAGGCGCTGGAGGTGCTGGAGCTGGAGGTACTGTGCAGCAGCGACCGTTCTTCTTGCCGCCGCCGCAGCTGTCCGAGCTACCGCCTGAGTCGGTGCTCCGTCAGGTTCTTAGTCTTCCTTCGACCACTGTCCTTCCTCCGGACTCCCAGCTGCCTGCCCCGTCTCGTTACACTGAGCAGCCAGTCTCCCTTACAGAGCATCGTGAGCCTGCGTCTCGTCCTGTCTCCCCTGTCCGCACTGTTTGCGCTGCTCGTCGTGTCCCGCGTCCTCGTTCTCCTCCTGTGCCTGGTACTCACACTATGGCACTTCGTCCTTCCACTGCTCCACAGCGTGTCCCTCTGCCGTCTCCTCATACGTCCTCTCTTCCTGAGCTTCCTGACCCTGAGTCTGACCGTGTTCGTGCTGCCAGCCCTACTGTCACGCGTCTTCTGGCTACTGCTGTCACTGACCCGTCGTTTGAGTCCACTGCTGCGTCTGCCTTAGTTGTTGAGCTTGTCGACTTTGTTGCTGCGTGTCGTCTAGACTACGCCGCCAGTCTTGTTGCTGAGTCTGAGTCTGTCTGTCCTCCGTCCGTCGGGGGTGAGTGTGCTCTTAGCACGGACGTCCTTGAGGACAGGCACGAGGACTTTGAGTCTCTTGCGGCTGCTTTACCTCATCTCGTGGACTGGCTGCTTGCTCCTGATGTAGACCCGGATGCACTTGACATCCCGACCCCGCGCTCTTACGCAGAGGCGATCACGGGTCCCTACTCCTCTCAGTGGCAGACAGCCATGGACGCAGAGATGACATCCTGGAAGTCCACAGGCACCTACGTCAACGAGGTTCCCCCTCCTGGGGCAAACATAGTCGATGGCATGTGGATTTTCAGGGTGAAGCGGCCGCCGGGTTCTTCGCCTGTCTTCAAGGCTCGTTACGTTGCACGAGGCTTCAGTCAGCGACAGGGAGTTGACTTCTTTCAGACCTTCTCCCCTACCCCGAAGATGACTACTCTTCGGGTACTGCTGCACGTTGCCGCTCAGCGTGATTACGAGCTTCACTCTCTTGACTTCAGCACAGCTTTCTTGCAGGGCAGCCTACACGAGGAGATCTGGCTGCGCTGCCCACCTGGCTTCACTGGGTCTTTCCCTCCTGGTACCCAGTGGAGCCTCCAGCGGCCAGTCTACGGTCTCCGCCAGGCGCCTCGCGAGTGGCACGACACACTGAGGACGACACTTGCGGCTCTTGGGTTTGCTCCGTCCACTGCTGACCCGTCGCTGTTCCTGCGCACCGACACTTCGCTGCCGCCGTTCTACATCCTCGTGTACGTCGACGACTTGGTCTTCGCCCTTTTGAAGTCGGAGCTGCAGAAGAGACACACCTGCACTGATCTGGGTGAGCTGCGTAGCTACCTTGGCTTGCAGATCACCCGGGACAGAGCACGCCGCACCATTACCCTGACTCAGTCACACATGGTGCAGTAGGTCCTTCAGCGCTTCGGCTTCCAGTTCTCCTCACCACAGTCCACTCCTCTGTCTACTGGTCACTCGCTCTCAGCTCCACCTTCGGACGAGTCCGTAGAGTCGAGTGGCCCGTACCCAGAGCTTGTAGGCTGCCTCATGTACCTGATGACCTGCACTCGACCTGACCTTGCGTACCCTCTTAGCATCCTAGCTCGCTACGTTGCGCCCGAGAGACACCGGCGAGGGCACTTGGAGGCTGCTAAGAGGGTGCTGAGCTAATTGTGCAGTACATCAGGCATGGGGCTGGTGCTTGGAGGACGGGGTGACGTTGTCCTCACTTGACACTCAGACGCCTCTTGGGTTGACGACCTGGCTACACAGCGGTCGTCACAGGGTTACACCTTTAGCCTTGGTTCCGGCTCTGTCTCTTGGCGGTCTACCCGCTGTTCTTCTGTTCTCAGCTCCAGTTGTGAGGCTGAGATCTACGCCACAGCCATGGCTGCACAGGAGCTTCGCTGGCTCACCTACCTGCTGACTGACTTGGGAGAGCGGCCTCGTTCTCCTCCAGTTCTGTACGGCGACAACAAGGCGGCCCTCGCCTTGTGTCAGGAGCACAGACTGGAGCACAGAACAAAGCACATCGCTCTGCGTTACTTTCTTGCTCGAGAGCTGCAGCAGCGTGGCCAGCTTCGTCTTGCTTATGTGGACTCGCGGGCCAACACAGCTGATATATTCACCAAGGCACTTCCGCCTAGTGATCATCAGCGTCACTGCACTCCTCGAGGTCTCGTGCCTATGTTCTCTCACTTGCTGATTGCTTGACTTTGCCTGTACTGTGATCTTTATGTATACCTGCATGCTTACACTTGCTAGGTAGTGATCACTGTACTGTTTGCTCTCTCTTATATAGCTACGCATGTGAATTGGCCATGTGGCCTTTTGCTTGTGCTCGGAATGTGTGGTGATGTCATGATCCACCCTGAGCTTGCTTTGTTTTTCTTGACTGGTCTTGTGACCACTTGTTCTCCCCCACTTTGCCTATGGGGGTGTGTCAAACTCTAATGCTTGTTGTTGATTGTAGGCTGTAGTGGGGTAGCTTACATGGGGTACAACACATTCTAGGGTTCATATTTGTACCCCAACCGTTTCTAGTCCATCATTCTTGCCTAAGATTCTGACACTTCCAACCGCACCCTCCCCAGGCCCTCAGAAATTTCCTCCTCCTCCCTTGTTTCCCCGGTCCCATCCCCCTACCTTGGCGCCTCCTCCTCTTCCATCTCCCGTGCCAAACGCTCCTTTTCTTCGGCCATTGCCTTTACCTTTGCCTCAAGAAGCCTTTGTTCTTCCTCGTAGGACGCTATTCTGGCCAACTACTCTGCTCGCCGATGCTCTCACACGCGTTCCTCCTCCAATCGGCGCTCCTTCTCCTGCCGCTCGGCATCCTCTGCTTCCTTCCTCTTTACCTCCTCCTTCTGCCGCCGCTCCTCCTCTTGATGTCTCTCCCTCTGCCGCCGCTCGGCGTCCTCTGCTTCCTTCCTCTTCGCCGCCGCCGCTCCTCCTCCTGCTGTCTCTCCCTTTGCAGCCGCTCGGTGTCCTCTACTTCCTTCCTCTTCGCCTCCTCCTTCTGCCGGCGCTCCTCCTCCTGCTGTTTCTCCTTCTTCAGCCGCTCGGCGTCCTTTGCTTCCTTCCTCTTCACCTCCTCCTTCTGCCACCGCTCCTCCTCTTGCTGTCTCTCCCTCTGCTGCCGCTCGGAGTCCTCTTTCAGTATAAGTGTCAACCTCTCTTCCACCTCCCTTAACATCCCCTCCTTCATCTCCTCTCTCGACTAGCGAACATGATCTTTCACGCTTAGTATACTGGCCTGCAAGGTTGAGAGAGTCGAACTGATCTGCACGCGAAACTCGGCCACCGTTTGTGCTTCCCGCCGCCATTCCTCGTTTGCATGGTGGACCTCCCCCAAGTTGGCGAGGGCGTCACGGCAGTAATGGATAGTCAGATTGCGGACGTCACGGATGATACTCCTGTTGCGGGCCGTCAAGTCACAGAATGTCTGCGTCATAATTCGCGTTAGTAGGGTCAGTCCCAGCTCTCGTCCTCGACGAACCCATCACCTTCTTCAACCAGCACTGTAGCCGTCCGCCGCAACATTCGCCGAATTGCCGCCTTTGCCTCCGCCCACTCTACCTCCACCCACGTTGGCATTTGAGGTCCCCTCTCCTCGAAGTCAGTCTCTTGCTCCCCTCCTGTAATCGATTTGCCTCATCTGCTCTCCGACGCAGATCTTCCATTCGCTCAGCCTGCCTCTGCCTTTGACGATCTACTGCAACCCTCGGCGCCCCATCTTCTGCCACTCTTCATGCCGTCTCAGCTAAAACTTTTGGTCTCTGCCTTGAATTTCCTCCCAAAAACCTCCGGACCCACGGATCTACCGCCTCTTCCTCTGCATCCTCCGCACCACTTCTGTGCACCTGTCGTGTTTGGCAATCCTCGCCTGCCGTCTTAATCCTCCCTGTCACCTCCTCAGTCTCCATCGCATCTGCCTTACTGCGTCTCACACGAGCCTCCTCTCTCTCCCTCGCCTCCTCCTCCGCAATCTTTTGCACCTCTGCAGCAGCCTTATTCCGCGCCTCCTCCACCGCTATCTTGTGCGCCTCTGCAGCAGCCTTCTTCCTCGCCTCCTCCTCCACGATCTTCTGAGCGTTTGCAGCAGCCTTCCTCTTCGCCTCCTCCTCCGCGATCTTCTGCGCCTCTGCATCCGTCTTCTTCTGCATCTCTGCCTTCGCGATCTTCTGCGACTTTGCAGCAGCCTTCCTCTTCGCCTCCTCCTCCGCGATCTTCCTCGCCTCCTCCGCCTTCTTCTGCGCCTCTGCCTCCGCGATCTTCTACGCCTCTGCACCAGCCTTCCTCTTCGCCTCCTCTGTGATTTTCCTTGCCGCCTCCTCCTCCTTCTTCTGCACCTCTGCCTCCGTGATCTTTTGCGCCTCTGCAGCAGCCTTCCTGTTCGCCTCCTCTTCCGCGATCTTCCTCGCCTCCTCCGCCTTCTTTTGCGCCTCTGCCTCCGCGATCTTCTGCGCCTCTGCAGCAGCCTTCCTCTTCGCCTCCTCCTCCGCGAGCTTCTGCGCCTTCTCCTCCGCCTTATTCTGCGCCTCTGCCTCCGTGATCTTTTGCGCCTCTGCAGCAACCTTCCACTTTGCCTCCTCCTCCGCGATCTTCTGCGCCTCTGCATCTGCCTTGTTCTGCGCCTCTGCCTCCGCGATCTTGTGCGCCTCGGCAGCAGCCTTATTCCTTGCCTCCTCCTCCGCGATCTTCTGCGCCTCTGCGGCAGCCTTCTTCTTCGTCTTCGCCGCCGCGATCTTCTGCGCTTGTGCAGCAGCCTTCCTCCTTGCCTCCTCCTCCGCGATCTTCTGCGCCAATGCGGAAGCCTTCTTCTTCGCCTCTGCCGCCGCGATCTTCTGCGCCTCTGCATCCGCGATCTTATTCGCCTCCACCTCGGCGCATTTCTGTGACTCGACATCCTCATCTGCCCTCCTTTGCAACTCTTCGCCCATCTTTTTCTTCGGTTCCTCCTCCGCCTTCTTTTGCGCCTCTTCAGACGCCTCTGGCTCATCGATGTCCACTCTCCAGGCCTCTTCCTAAGCCTTCCGCTTTACCCCTGTCAAGCGAACTTTCAAGTATCCCGCATCCTCCTCGGTCCGCTGCCGCACATTGCTGGCGAGATCCTCTCCTGCTCCCACTCCCACGCCTGCACCTGCCGTGGCGCGTACCCCACGCACCCGGGCATCACATATGTCTTGTGTTTCCGCGAAGGACACGTTAGGGTTCGTAGCTCCTTCAAGGCGACTTTGTCTGTCTGCATCCTCCCTCCTTTTGCTTCTGCTTCGGCCCTCCGCTTATCCTCAGCCGCCTTCTTCCACGTTCTCTCCCAGTTCTGCCTCACTCGGTTGTTGCCGATCTTCTACACCCTCCTTGCCTTCCTCCAATACCCTCGCCAAGTCCATTTGCGTCTCCGCTACTCGTTCCGACGGCCTTCATACCCGATCTGCAAACCTTAGCTGCCTTCCTCCACGTCTGGCAAGTTCTTCCGCACGGGCCAACCATGATAGCGGGCCACTCAGCAGCGCACCCGACGCTGGAGGTCGCCTGGAATATGATACTTCCCCCACCCTTGGAGTTGCTTCATTGTCAGCACCGGGTACCTCCCTGTGCCCCTCAACCTCCTCTTCTCTTCTCTGCACCGCCCTCACCATCATGTTCCCGGTCCGGGCCTATATCCGGTCTTCCTCGCAAGCAGCATGGATCGTCTTGACAGTATCCGGGTTAGAGGCAGTTAAATTCCTTCCTGCAGGTCGAAAAAGGCGCGGCAGGTCGACTCCAGCATACTTCTGATTTCTGTCGCCCGATTTTTGCCTTTCCCTAAGCCGATCATGGTCCCTTCATTCTGTATCGCCATAAAGTCCCCCCATCTGTCCAGCAGCTTGCTGAAAAGATGGGTCACTTGCAGACCCGAGCCCACTTGCCTCTGTCCTTGAACTTTGTTGATATGCGACATGTGCACTTTCAGGTTCAGGCATCACAAGCATTAATGTACATAACTGTGGCATGTATATCGAGCCTGGCATCATAACAGCAGCAAATTACCCTTCCTTCCTCTACTATCAATGCCTCAAGCCGATTTCTCAAGTCTTTCTGCAGTACTCCAGCGTGTCCTCCACAGATTCTGCGACCTCATTTGTATTCAACATCGAGTTGTTGAATAAGTCAGCTGTGGTGAAACGTATTCATATTTAGAACAGTTATTACGTGATGACCAATACAATACTACAAAGAAAGACATACGTACTCGAACACCTCTTTGGCAAGATCAGTGTGGCGATGGGTTGGTATAGCAGATTTCAGGTCGAAGTGGAGCACACGCGTACGGTAATCTCCGCGGGATTGTGACGACAGATCGTGAAGGTTCAGAAGCACCATGAGACTGATCGCCCAGGATGAAACAATAGGAACTCTATGGTGCACCAAAGGTAGGATTAGCAGAAGTGAGAGGTGTCAATCACAGCTGAAGAAAGATTTATAAAAACATACTCACTCTGTGATAATTGGGATTAAAACCACATGATAGTCCAAGAGCGACCGTTGATCGCTTCCACTACTGGGCACCCGAGAGTTCGCATTCCTCAATCGTTGATGCTCGCTCGGTGCCAAAATCTTTATGTCTCTGCGCACTCTAGGATCCTGGATCTTGTCCTCGGCAACCTCACTGCGTACAGGAGGTCACGCCGTTGTTGTTAGAATCAAACTATTGTAAATTCTGTATGACTGAAGTTTTCGAATAAATCGTCGTCCTGGACAAACATCTATAGTATACTTACACAAGGCAAAAAAGTATCTCCGACTCGTTCCACTCGTCCCTCCCCGTGCATAACGTCTCGAAGGATTGATTTCCTAGTCCAATGCTCAAGCCGCAGCCATCCGTGAACAACTGGGAGGATATCACGTAACTATCGCGAAGTTGTCAGAAACATCTATAGACTTCTACGTAGCGGGCTCTGCGCTGGCCGTAGAAGGAGAGAGACGCTCTTAAAGAGGAGAAAAGGGAAATGAAGAAACAGATGGGAATGGCAAGATTGACGTTCGGCGGTGGTCGAACCACTGTGCAAACAGCCGTGGACTACTAGTTGAATAGGGCGTGTTCTCTTCCTGACAGAAGACGGAAAGGGTTTGCTCATATCACCCCACCTGGAATCAATGTTCTGCCTCAAAACCAACAAGACTACATGGCGTCAGATCGCGATGAGCCTATGCGCACCATTTTGGGAATCCTAGACGCAGTCATTGGCCAAATGGCTGCCACGTTGTATTCTAGAATCTTCTACGTCCATTGATAGTTGGTTCTTTGTAAACCTTACCTGCAATGCATGAAAAACTCATCTTTGGACAAGCAATGCATGGTCGCACATCTGCCTCGACCTCGGACAGCACGAATACGGGCTGCCCCTGAAAAAAACTTAATTGATGTGTGACAGGTTGACGCCAGGCTGCCACGTATAACAGATCCATCTGCATGTTTCTCGCCAAGATGTCTCGTAGAGGAATTGCAGCGAGCCGTTTAACGCTAGACACTTTTTCGACCTCTATATCCCTCATAAGCGCTGTAGTGTTTTTGGCCATGAACGTACAGTATGATTTTGTCAGTTTTGAAATGACATATAACCATCGCATTTGTTGTCAATAACCATGCAATGCCCAAAACTCTAGCATTCTAGCAATTTGAGGTTGTCTGCATGCGCACACATGATTTTGGAGTGCACAAATGTTCACGGTTGAAATTCAGGAAATATCTCGTCTATACATTGAGCACCAAATTTCAGCAATTACCGGCAAAACAAAGCATGAAAAACATAGCACACCTTAATTGAATTAGCAGAATTTGATCGAGGGATCTGGAATAAGTGTGATAAGAGTCCCCTATCAAAATCAGCTCATGTGTTCAAGGAGAGGTTGGTCATTTAAGTAGAAACCAAGTCAACAATGTTAGCTCTAACCTAGTCAGTTTCTTAATCTGAACACAGTTTCGGAATGTACGTATCAGGAAGCTGACTATCAACACCAAGATATGTTCACACAGCGAACATCGGTTTCGTCGAATCACTTCTGAAAGTTCTCGTGTTTCCAGATTAAAAACTTTCAAGCTTCAGACATTGCTAAAGTTGTTCTGGCGAAGAGTATACTAATGGCTGGACGGATCTCAAGCCTCAACCAAAGACGGCATCGAGAAAGCATCGCAGGTTACAGTCAGCACCGAGGATTCAAATACAAACAAGTCTATCAACGAAACATCTTCCGTCTATCGTCTTTTTTTGCCATTCAGCGAGGACTACACCAACAACCTTTGCTTCATGAAAAGTTCAAGATTACTGATTCGTTGGCTACTCAAGTGTTTGACGACAAAGAAGATTTTCTTCCCTATACATTCAAGCATGAAGATTCAGACCGGAAACTACAAGAGTTCCACGCTCATCTAGAAGACATGGATACATTGCGGCTCTCTGCACATATTCTTCTTTCTTATTTTTTCCTCAGAGGAGACATCTCCGTGACACTGGCAGAATCTACAGCATCGTCCATTTACATGCTTGAAACAGTTCGCGCCAGTGACAACGCTAACGCTGACTCTGGAACTCATGCAAACATGGCTGACGTTGGTGTTACTAATAAGCAACAAGACGCGCATCTGCAGATTGAAGATTCTCAGTAGTTCCCGTCAGTGGGAGTTAACTTTTCTCATCAAGGCATGTTTTTCCAGGGAGAGAACGTCAGATATAAGATAGCTGCTGCTGCAACATTTCGTCATCAGAATTCGCTTAGGGAATAGGGAGAATTTCCAACCAACTTGCGTCACCACAGACGTCTGATCATAACTTCCATTGGAACCGAATCTCGCCGCATTCGCACCAAAGTGGCAACCAAAGCAAGAACCCCCTCTCCCATTCAGAACCGTGTGGTTCATCGCCTCAAGCAGTGCAATATTGAAGTCTCCCGAGCCTACATCTTTGGGCAATGTAGGTTCGTTGGTAGCCTACCAAAACCGAAGCAACAAGTACAATGCGGGGAACGTATCAAGATCAAGATGCTTCTACGAGCGTTTAAGTGTGCTAACGGCACAAGGGGTTTTCATAACGGGCAGTTTGCAATTTTAAGGCACCTTGTTTATAGACCACCGTAGAGGCTTCCGCGGGTGTACGGTATGCTATACCTAGGCCCTCTAGCCCGGTTACGACCGCTGGATGGTGTTTTTTGCATTGTGTAATGTGATTTCACCTCCTTCAAAAAAAAAAAAAAAAAAAAAAAAACCTTAATCCAGGCAATTCTGCACAGAATTCTGCATTGACGTGCAAACCAGAGCGTGAAAAGCATAGCAAACCTGAATGAAATGAGCTGAATTCGATGGGGATCTGGAATATGTGTGATGAGAGTCCCCTATCAAAATCAGCTCATTTGCCCAAGGCGAGGTCTTTCATTTGAGAAGAAACCTTAGTCTAGGCAATTCTGCACAGAAATCTGCATTCTCCTGCAAAACAAAGCATGAAAAGCATACCAAAACTTCATGACATGACCTGAAATTCAGATGGAGATCTGGAATTAGTGTGACGAGAGTCCATTAAAAAATTCAGCTCATTTTTACAAGGAGAGGTTGGTCATTTCACAAGATACCTCATTCCAGCCATTTCTGCACAGAATTCCGCATTCTCCTGCAGAACAAAGCATGAAAAGCATAGCAAACCTGCATGAAATGTGCAGAAATTGATAGGGGAATGTAGAGTAAGTGTGATGAGATTCCCCTACAAATTTCAGCTCATTTTCCCAATGAGAGGTAGGTGATTTGACTAGAAACCTCAATCCAGACATTTCTACACAGAATTTCATGCATGAAAAATCCACCTAGGGTGTGTGAAATGACACTGTTTTGGGGGGCTGGAACTAGTGTCACGACACTAACAAACATAAGAAAACAGGTCACCATAAAACACATGTGTGTGATGCCCATAGAATGACATTGCAAGTGCTAGAAGCAACCTTAGTTAAGCCAAAAGTGACAAAATGATTGATTTTGACAAAAAAACAAAAACATGTCCATTTGTAGAGGGCATCAAGGAGATGCAGGAAATACAGGTTTCAATCAAAATGAACCACAAATTCAGAGTTATGAGCCAAACCACAGGCATTTTTGACTTAGCCATTTTTACTTACTCTTTGCATGAATTACAACGTTGTGTAAACACCAAATGTTATACCTAACTACTGTGGCACAGTGGTTGCGACCTCCCATTCGTCTAACAGTCGATAATCGCATACCGGTAGTGTTACTCAGCTTGCACAAAGTTTCGTTGCGCCTCAAGTTGGTTTGGATTTTATAAGCCCCACACCACTTTTTGCGCGGGATCCGAGCAAATCCATGTCGCACGGGCAAAAGTGAGCTTTCGCAAAAAAAAAAAAAAAATGCCTCTACGATCCGAGTCGAAGGATCCGAGTGC